CTTAGCTTCACTTATAGACACCTAAAGCCCTCCCCCCCCCTCACACTCACAAAACTACGATCTTTTGTAGAATCATAGATAACCGTGAGATATTCATATCACCATATGTCCCACTCGCTGAACTATAAGGATCACACAGATGTAATCAAGCAGTGAAAAGATGCCGCAAAGATGAGAACCTATGCGTCGAATGAACTAATTGAGAGAAATGCTGTTGCTAACAGGTTGATGTCATTGGCAATGCAGATAGAATACAGTTGCCAAACCTGGAATTAAGAAGATAAAATGTAATTTCTGTTAGCTTTCAGGGTGAAATACTGGTGATTCTTTCATTGTACTCCTGCACCATGGATGAGCAACTTTTTATATGTGTCTTTCAATGCCAGTATTATGTGGGTAATCGTATTTGGTTGAAAGAAATCGGTGTTATTCGAGGGAACCTCGGCCTCACTTAGCTATTGAGGGCTTAAACTGAATTCAGTCATGCAATGATTCATGCCAACGTTCACACCTGAGCATGGTGGTCGAATAATTGAATCATCTAAACGCAAATCGATTCCTTACCCGTAGGACCGACGTCGATGTTTCAAGGATCAAGGAAACAATGGTCTGGGATAGGATGGGAGTGAACTGTCACAATCCACCTTCCCGAAAGTTTCACGTCACCGTTGGGGTTTTGATCAATTGGGTCCAATCGGTGGCGTGTGGCGGCTGAAGCACCAATCAATTTATGGAGTTCTCAGTAAAATGTGATTGGTTGGATTCCCTTGAAGTCACAACAAATTCACCTGATCATATGGAAGAGAAAGAAATGATGAACGTTTCTAAGTACGACGGATGATTCAGCAGGGTGAAGGGAAGGACAACCCTGCGCGTTGTTCGCCATCAATCCGGTGTTCATCTCGGGATCATTCCGGCCCACAAACTGGCTTCTTCTCCTGTACAGTTCAGAATTGAAAAACAAAGACCTCTATCGTCCAAGCTGTGTTTCTAAGTCACCTCTTATTCGTTTTGAGTATCGCTCCAAGTACGGTGGGAATTGTTTTGAATGCATCCAGATTGTTCACACCACATCGGCGATTGATGAGTTTATCAATAAACCCGGATTCTTCCTTTGTACCTGACTACAGGACATGTCTCAACAATGTATGTTGTCCCATCACATATAAACCATCCCAAAGCGTCAGTAAAAAGGACATCTGCATCAAACTGGCGTCCAAGCGTGACCACATTTACAATGATGTGCGCCAGGAGTTGAGGTCAGCTCTAGATTG